AATCATCATCCACACCGCTACCCCTTGTATTCGAGGTTCCTTCATCAAGGTTGGTATCATTTTCTCTCGACTCCCACATCACATCGTCGATTAAATCGGCCATTTCGTTACTTGGCAAGACGACTGGAGGAATAAAAGATTCACCATGATAGATCCAAATTTTGTACGACTTACTGAAACCATTTATAAATATATGGCGTTCCACTGCAGTCGGGTACTTGAAGTAACGGTTATCACATTTTTCACACGCACATCTGATTTTACCATTACTATCAAGGTGTGACTTGGACTTCTCGATAAAAGCTTTGAGTCATGCTTGGAACTAGGGATGATTTCGATATGGATTAGTAGTCCAGCTTTTATCAATAGACATGATGTTGCTGAAACATAATTTTGGGTTTAGAGTTTAGTATACAGAATTAGCATTGTTTTTTTACAATCCACATTTTTTTTACAATTAAAAAAATAAAAAAATTAAAAATAAAAAATTAAAAAAATTAAAATTTAAAAATATAACATTTTTTTTACAATCCACATTTTTATTTATAACATTTTTTTTCAATTATAGCATTGTACTTTAAACAATTATATTATGTTGTTGTGTTGTTCTTTTTTACCGTCGAGATTAAAAAAAATATATATTTTTTTATTATAACATTTTAAAATATTGTTGGAAGATTAAAGTTAATTTGAAGATTATAAGTACTAAGAACTTATTGGTTAATTTGGGTTAGCTTGTGAACAACTAAAAACTTTTGAGTATTCGTATATAAGTTTTTAACAATTTATATAACATTTTTTTGTGTTTTTTTTTTCCAATTATAACAATGATTTATTTTTATATGTTTAGCAATTTTAGTTTTTAATGATAAAATATTAAATAAAGAAAAATTAATAATTTGGTATATCTATAAAAAAATATTCCTTACTATTGTATCTTTTTATATTTTTTTATTTATAACAATTGTTTTTTTTTTCAATATAGCATTGTACTTTAACAATTATATTATGTGTGTTGTGTGTTCTTTTTTACTGTTGAGATTAAAATATATATATATTTTTAACTTTAAAAAATTGTATAAATATGTTGCAAGATTATAAGTTCAGTTGAAGACTATAAGTTAACTATAGAACTTATTGGTTAATTTGGGGTTAGTTGGGGAACAAACTAGAACTTTTCGATATTCGTATATAAGTTTTTAAACAATTTTATAACATTTTTTTTGTGTTTTTTTTTCCAATTATAACAATAATTTTTTTTTTATTTTTTTTTCAATTATAGCATCCTACTATACCAAACCACATACTTTTTCACATAATACATAAGAGCATGAAAATCCACATACTTTCACATACATATACCACATATACCCAATACAACACATTCACATACACACATAATAACATCCTACTTAAACAAATACACATACTTTCACATATATAGAGAAAACATCATATTTATACCAAATACAGAAATTTCACATTCATATACCACATTTACAACAAACATACATACATTCACATACACACGCAATAACATCCTACTTATAACAAACATATATAATTTCACATATATAGATAATAATATCATATATACTTCTACCAAAATACTCATATACCACATATACATCAAACACACATACATTGGCATATATACACCAATTAACATAGATTATACAAATATCAAATATACATACATATGACAATTTTCACATAATTGATACAACTACACATAGCTTGCAATTAAACTCAAATTTCACAATAAATTGAAATAATAGAACTTGTAGTGGCGGAAATCAACGAATTTGTTGCCGGAAAAATTGGTCTTCACCCGAAAATACCCTCACACGTAAACTCAAAGACAACACTACCAAAAACAATGAAATTGAAAAATAATTTGCAATTAATCATCAAATGCAACTAGAAATCAAAGTTAACATACAAAGACAAAGAGATATAAGAACTTAAACTTACCTTTCTTCCCGAAATGAAGCTAGAAATCACGTCACAGAAGCCCAAACCACCCTTGATCCCTAATCTCTTACAATGTGGGGAGCTAACTTGTTGGAATCAAGAATCAATAGCAAAATCGGGGACCGATTGGAAGAGCAGCAGCGTAGTAACAGGAAACAGGAAGAGATGGAAAGAAAACAGAAAGCAAATGAGTTGATTGCGTGCGTTTTTTTTATCTGCGAAAGCCTTTAGCGGCGACGATTTTAGCGGCGACAATTTGGTCTTTACCGGCGACACAAGGCAACAACGACGACTATCTGGAGGGAAGGGTACCGCTCCATTTTTTAGATCACTATTAGCGGCGACATTTTAGACTTTTAGCGGCGACACAAATGTCGCCGATATTAGGTTTGTGCGGATAAGAGACCCCAACCGTTGGATTAGATACTCGATCGAACGGCTGAGATCTATCAGAGAGGGTAAACATGGATTCGGGTGAGATGTCTTTTGCGGCGACACAATTACCGGCGACAAATGGTAGAGTCGCCGCTAAAGGGTTGTGTCGCCGGTAATTGTGTCGCCGCTAAAGACATTGTTTCTTGTAGTGTCTTTCAGAAAATACCAACATATTATTGAAATTAGATAAGAATTAGGGAGGGATAGGTAAAGAAGGAAATAAGTTATGAGTAATTAAGTGGAAAAAAATAAGTTCATTGATTGAATAGAAGAATGAATGACGTAACACCTCGGTGCCTTTCCTTACTGCACCAAAAGGTGCTTAACACAACATTACCTAAGGCATCGACGTTTTTAGATAAAAACAAAGAAACTGGCGTTAAACGAAGGTGGTGGTGGCAACGGGAAGTAACGGCAGACGTATAACGCCCAAAAACGGTGAAGGGGGGTGGTGTTTGTGCGTTATAACATCCAAAAACGTCGAAAGGGTGTTGCCCGTACCCACCTCTCTAAGTGACTAAATTGGAAACCATGTGTGGAAGCTCTTTACCTTGTACAAGTTGATATATCTTCTTGATGCAATGATATATAACATGATAATATTCATTGATAAGCTCAAGGATATATAAGTATATATTTGTTGCTTAAGTATATGTTTTTTACTTAATTATTTTAGTATATACATATGTAGTGTTCGTGTTTCATGGTTTTTTTTGAACAATTTTCTAAGTTTAATGTAGGCATGTAAACCGTTTCGGAACTTGACCGAAATGGAGAAAAACCGAAAACCGAATAAACCATAACCTCAAAACAAAAAATTGAACCGGATACCACTATTTGACTCTGGATCCGTTTCGATTGTACTAAAAATGTGCTATCTAAGAATATGTTCGGAATCGAAACCTGAAAAAAAATTGAAAATTGAATAAGGCTTAAACTAAAAACCGAAAACCGAACCGAATACCACTATTCGGTTCCAACCGGTTTCAGTTTGGCTTTTCAGTGAAAAGGGTCCTCCCTACTCCTAGGGTATATACGATATGAAAAAATAAAGTTTAATGATATTTTTTGAAAAACACAAAAGTTTGTTAAGCTCTTAAGACCTATATCATTTTCCTTTTCTTTGATAAACATAAATCATTACATTAAAATGTTAGACATGACTTCAAATAATAAATGAAACTGATGTATAAACATGTTAAATGGAATTAAAGAAAAAAAAACAAGTCTATTAATAAAGACGATACATACCTTGAATGCTAACTATTAGGTATCGACAATAGAAACTATGAAGAATTAATCTATATCTTTGTAAACGTTTATAATTACATCTATATCCTTGTAAAACTTCAAATTATATGTATATCCTTATAAAATCTATAAATTCACATGTATACCTAAATACTTAATTTATCATATTTAATATGTTAAAAAAAATAGAAACACTATCTTTAAATTGATTTTTTATTATTTAGATAATAAATAAGTTGTAACATTATAGTATTATCCTTCTCACACATTGTTATTCTCGGACTATTTACTTTATAAATCCTTACAAAATATCAACATTTACATTGAAATTGTTTTTCCGTGATTTTACATATAACTGAAGAACCATATAAGCAAGTCTCCTAATTCGATTAATTGTATAAGATGGAATATATTTTAAGCAATCAGTTAGGAATAAACAATCATCAGGTTTTATTAATCGATTATACAGAATATGAAACAAAAAAGAATAATGTTGTGAATAACCAAATCGTGAATATAGAGACCGAGTATGGAAGATAGTGCAAATGAGTATTTTTATAATTTATTTATAATCTAATTTAAAGATAATGTTTTTAATTTTTAAATATATTAATTATCATTAAATTAAGTATTTTGGTATATACATGAGTTTATAGGTTTTATAAAGATATATAATTAATTTGAAGTTTTACAAGGATATAAATATAATTAAAAAGGTTTGTAAGGCATTATAAATATACAAAATTTTCCCTAAAGACTATTACTATAGAGCTGATCATATTTTGTAAAGAAAATAAGACACTATAAATATTTTATATTTTTATAATCAACTTAAAGATAAGAAATAGTCCGACTTCTCAAATCAAATGCTAAATTTTAGTACTAAGAATGAAACCACCTTAATTCATGCACTAGCATTTAATTGGAAGGCGGAATGTTTTTTGAGGATTGAATTTATGCTGTAAGTAACCATGCATGAATGGCCGAAGGGAACACAAACATATACCATCCCAAAAGAATAATAAACTTAATTGACTTATCATTATTCCACCATTTTAATTATTATATTTCATTTGATTATATATATAATTAAACAAATATTTTCAAATTCATCGTTTATACCAAAGTCAACACTCCACCCCCTTTCCTTAAACTCTAATCTTCAAATCATCCTTGAAGTATGCTAATGCAGTTGCCAAAACCCTAAGTTTCTCACCATTTTCACATTCATACTTTTCCTAGATTGAGTCATGATGAGCTGTTTCTAGTCATATATGAATTTGTATATATTTACAGCTGCATATATCTAAACTCGATCCCGTTCCCTTTCTTATTAAAATATGGCAGTCGAAAAGAAACTGCAAACACCTCTATCCGAAGGGATTCTAGAGAACGTATGGGCAAACTTCATAGGCGAAGATCATGATCATCATGCAAAAGAGGAAATACCACAGAAAACTTTTGAAGTTTCAGAATCATGGGAGGAGTTGCCGAATCTTGATCATGGTAAAGATGAAGAAATCGGATTTTTACAAAGACTACCGAGTTTAGGAAGATGGATATCCATGGGAGCAGAAGAATGGGAAGAAATTCTTGCTGGAATTGTTATTCCTTCTGAGAATATTGAAAATCCACGTGAGATTCTTGCAAAAGGTCGTGATCAAACTGTGTTGGGTTCAGGAGCTGATGACGTTGTGAAAACTGAGAAACGTTATAGGGGAGTCAGGAGACGTCCATGGGGGAAGTATGCAGCTGAAATTAGGGATTCTTCAAAAAAAGGAGCTAGGGTTTGGCTTGGAACTTTCAAGACACCTGAAGAAGCTGCTTTGGCTTATGATAAAGCAGCATTGAGAATTAGAGGCCCCAAAGCACATCTAAACTTTCCGATTCAAGAAGTTGAATATAAAATGAGAGCCACTGATCAACCAGAAAGTGAATCAAATGATCATCCTTCGACAAGTTGTCAAAGGACTGATTCGACAGACATTCAATGCTCACAATACAAAGATTACAACACAAATAAAAGGGTGTTTAGGGATTGGGAAGAAGTCCAAAAGGAGGTAGCCATGAACGGACCACCTCCATTGAAGAGATTGGAAACCCAAGAAGAATCTTATTGGGATGACAACATTGATGTACTTGAGTTTGAGGATCTTGGTGTTAGTTATTTAGAAAATTTACTGTCAAAAGGTTCTTAGAACACAAAAGTTTAGATTTATGATAATTGTAACTGAAGTTATATCAACCTAATTTTGTCCAATATGTTTAGTTGTAACAGGAGAAATGGTTACTGTGGATATGTGGTATATATAGTGGAAATTACAACTTTTGTTTAACTTTGTTTTTCGTTACTTTGCTTAACTATTGTTATCATTATAACGTGTTCACAAACTATATTTATTTACACATTTTTTGTATCATGTTTTCTATATTTCTAACGCTTTCAACATTCTCAATGTACATTTTTCATACACAACTTTTGAGATTATGAAAAGCAGTATGGTTTTCCAGCTCCTCAAATGTCAACAAAACAAAACATTCAGATGATAAAAATATTGTTTGATCGATCAAAACAAGTATCACAGAAAATATAATTTTTTATTTAAGTGTTAAGAGTGATTTAATAGGTTTTTGTCATATATGATTATATTCTTTGCAGTTTTGGGTTATCATCAGTTAGTGGCGTAATGGGCATTAGGTAAGTAAGGGTCTTAAGAAAAAAAACTAAATGGCCCATAAGAAAGCCCATGACATTCTGCTAAACAATGTCTAATTCTCATTTCAAACCTTTAGATGGACATTACCAAAATTGTATCTATCATAGGTCCAAATCATGTATTAAAATGTCCAAATCATGTAGGAATGGTGTGTTGGACACGAGCCATACATTGTAGTGGTGCACAAAAATAGGGTCTTGCTAGACATGTAACATTGTAACAGGTTATAACTTGTATAGGGACAAGACATAACCAAATACCGTAACGGATTGCTGCTTAAGAAAACCATAATAGATATTATAAATTATAATCCAACCCATAAATGGTAAAATCGGGCTTTTGTAATTTAGCTAAAGCGCCTTTGTCGTTTTAACAGAATTTTTTTTAAAGAACTTTTCTAATAGATCGTGTTATCATTAAAAATGTTACTATAAAGTAATCGGTTTTCGAGGATCCCCTAAGAAAGTTCAAGAACCCCAACACCATATTTGTTTTGATGCCATTTTTTGATAAAAAAAATTAATAATAACATAAATACGAGAACTTGAAGAAATGGAAACACAAAATATGAAATTTGAAATGTATATAAAGTGACCCTACAAAATGAGACGAGAAGATGCATGTAATGCTCGGAACACAAAATTTGATATTAGAGAACACGAAATATGATATCATTTTTTAATTTGTGATTCAAACAAAAAACATCATCCCGTTGATACACGTCTAAGAAGGTAAAAAGGTCAAAAGATGTGCAAAAAATGAAAAAGGCTCTTAAAATATAGCTTTTTGCTCAAAATGTTCATTTAAAGACAAAAGAAAGCAAGCCTTTGGGAAAATGACTTATCATGGTAATCATTTTTGTTGTTTTGTTCATATTTAAACAATTTTTTTTTATTTTTATACATATTTAACCATTTAACTTGTTATATGTGTTCACATATTAACATTGTCATCGGCTATAGCAGTTGACAATGGTAATATATGAACATATTAACAAGTTAAATAATTAAATTTGTACAAAAAAAATTGTCTAAATGTAAATAAAACGAAAGATTAATTACTTTGATAAGTTATTTTCCCCCTTTTTAATATCGATTGTATTTTTCATATTTGTTTGTATTATTTTTTTAAACGTTATTTTTCAAATATCAAATGTTTTCTAAATATTGATAAGTTTTAAACTTTACTTTTTAATTAATAAATATGTTTTTGTTTTGTGAAAATATTTTATAAAACCTCTTATAATTTTTTTCTTTTGTTTTTAAGCATATACAATATTTTTAAAGTAATAAAATTAAATAAATTAAATATGTAACAATAAGTATGGATGGTCTTTTAAAAAAATAAAAAGAAAAAACATTACTTAACAAATAAAAAAAAAATTATATAATGTAAATGTTTTAAAATTATTACAACTTTTTAATACTTTTTAACTTGAAGTTTATAAACTTTTAATTTTTTTAATACAACGTTTTAAACTAGTATTTAACGAAAGTATTGTAAAATGTTATAAAAAAATATTAAATTGCCATACAAAATCTATGAAACACTTTAAAAATGTTGTAAAAGAAAGTTTAGAAATAATTGTATGAAAGTTATAAAAAAATTGTATGAAAATATATATAAAAAAAGTTAAAAACTTGTAAGAAAAAATTAAAACATTTATAAAATATTTGGCTTAAAAACACTTGTATTAAAACTATATGAAAGTATAAAAAAAGTTAAAAAAAAATTATAAGCAAAGTTTAAAACATTGTATTAGAAAAACCTATAGGAAAAAAAATATCATAAAAATGTTGTAAGAAATTATAAAAAGTCTTAAGAAATTTATATAAAAAAAATCTTCACATTTAAACAACTTTCTTTTTTTGTACACATTTGACCATTTAACTTGTTAAATGTGTTCACATATGTACAAAAAAATGAAGTTGTCTAAACGTGAACATGACAAAAAGATAATTACTCCCACAAGTCCCTTTAACATTTTTAGTTTCTATGTCCGCATCACCTGATGGTTTTCTTGACCACATTACCTGTTGGTTTTCAAAAATTTCTAATCAAAGTCAAACTTTCTAGTTTCTATGTGTCACAACTGACAAAATTAGGTTAAGATGTGAATTCCTAAACAATATAATCTCCTTGTGTAAGCCCAAAAATTGATCCAATAAGCCAAGCCCAATCATTTTTGGGCTTTTAACTCATAAATTCTCAACCAAAAACCCTTATTGGACCAAGACATTCTTATTGGGCCTTTTGGGCCGAAAACATATACCAGGACCTTAATTGGGCCGATAATTATTATTTTTGGGCCCTTTGAACCAAAAACCTTTTGCTAAGCTTTAATGAGTCGAGAATCCTTCATGGGGCCAAGCCAAATCGAAACCCACCATGTTGGGCTACTCTCTTGGGCCATATATCCCTCTTGGATTGGTTAGCCCACCTTTAAAAAAAAGATAAAATGGGAGGAATTATCTAAGCTTGCCACCTCTTTATAATCCAACATACTTCCATGCAAACTTCACACCAGCAAAGTCAACTCTTCTTTCTCTCCTCTCTCTTATTCATGGCCACACACACACATACACTTCTCCATTTCATTTTTCCTCGCAAACTCACTTTACTCTCAAGAATCTCTCACTCCTTTCCTCAGAAATTCGCGAGTTTGCTAGTGTGTTCTCCAAGGATCTTCTCCAAAAGCTCATAAACTTGGTAAGTACTCTTGTTAATCTCAAAGATTATCACATCGTTCAAGCTAAAACTCTTGTTTACATCCTTTGTTTTGTGTAAAAACTCTTAGATCCACCACCATTTCGAGATTCTCTCAAAGAACTCAAGCTAGGTTCAAAGATTCTTCTTTTTCTCCATCTACATCTCAAAAACCCCCAAGGTGAGTTCATACCCCCTTGTTTTCAGTTTTATGATCTTTTTGGATAAAACGGGAAACCATTCTATGATCTTTTTGGATAAAACGGGAAACCATTCTATGATCTTTTTGGATAAAACGGGAAACCATTCTATTTTCTTTTTGATAAAACGGTAATCTATACGTACTGGTACTCAACCACCACGGGGGTTGAGATTCCAGCATTTTCTATCGCAAACAACATCGGGTTGTCTGGAATGACTTCTCTTTCTATTTTCGCAAACATTAACACACATGCATTAATATAAGATTGGACACAAACATTTCAAACCATTTCTTTTAAGAAAACATCGGATTTTCTGGGAACGTTCGCTTTACTTTTACAAATAAAAGATAACAAAGGACATGCATGCATACATTCATAGTTTTAGAACGAGACTTACAAACTATTTTATAGAAAATATCGGATTTTCTGAAGACACTATGAGAACTACTCTAAACAAGCACAAAACTATTTTATACAAAAATGATTATGAACTCACCAACTTTTTAGTTGACGCTTTTCAAAACGACTTGTATCCTCAGGAATCCAGTAGCAGGTAATATGCTCGACTAGGAGATCAAGTGGCGCGACTTCAAGAAATTTTACTTTTATTACTTTTGTATAACTGATGAACAAGTTCAATATGTAAACTATGTAAGTGTGTATTTCCAATGTATGATGTTTGGTTGCTATGTTTCATTCATATTCAATTGTTATGATACTGTACAATGACATCAACCGCCCCCGGACGTTTCCGCCGTCCCGGTTCGGGGGTGTGACAGATTGGTATCAGAGCATTGTTTATAGTGAACTAGTATATCTAACCATACAAGATATACAACTATAAATACAATGGGACTAAAAACACTTTGACTAAAAGTATACCTTAAGAATATAAGTATCTTCTAAAAGTATACATACTTGCTAGAACCGTATCATAATACGAACAAAACAAAAGTATTTAGATGTTGAACACTACAGTCAAACCTGGGCAGTTATGTAATCCTATCTGGGATAAATATAGTCTGATCAACTATATTTATTTGAGATACGACCAACATGTGCTTGGGAGTAAGGGTAGCGTTGCAACGAGTCTAAAACTTACCAACCTTACATGTAAAGGAGCATTAGAGCCAAACCTAAGGTTTAAATTACTATAGGAGTATTTTATGATACTAAACAATAACAACAAGTCTAAAAACGTATCGATTTCGTACATCAAGAAGCCCTAGGATCAAACATGTAATACTATAGTAGCATTTTAGAATACCATATGACCTCCACACTTAAATCTTCTACATGTATCTCATACCTCCACTCTCGTGAAGACAACATGACTGAGCTTCACCCCGAAGACCCCTACTACCCTACAGTAATAGCCAACGAATGGATAGAGGGAGAACCAGAGGAAGTGCAAAGGGAGAACCCAGAAATGGGTCCTGAAGAATACCAAGAGATGAACCACGAGGGAAAGGATTCTGATGAGGAGTCAGACATGGATGAAGGCGCCAGAGAGATCTTTAGCAAGCCTTACCCCATCGGAAGCAATACCGAACCAACACGCAGAACATGAAG